TTTTTTTTTTTTTTTTTTTTTTTTTTTGTTATTCAACCCAACTTTTAAGGACAATAATAAAAAAAATGAATTAAAAAAATAAAATCATATTAAAAGAAAAGGTAACTTACTATGTCCATTTCCATATCCACGTCCATACCCATTTCCATCGTCCTGCGCGTGGGCTGCACCTCGAGTAAATCGCGCGTAGCATTTAGCCAAAAACAAATCCCCCCAAGCAGAATTCCCACACCCCGATTTGAGCAGTTTGATAGCGTCAGAGACGCAATCTTGGCAGTCGCTCACACTCAAATCCCCAACGCACTGAGCCACACTCCGTACATCCCCAACTCCACCTGTCCTATAGGTTCCACCATCATTAACCAAATACGCCAGCGCAGCATCAACCCCAGTCAACGCGTCCAAGTCAGACCCAATCGACGGTCCACATTTCTTAACCACGACCGTCTTGTCCTCCACCCCAAAGAAGCTCTTGTTGTCGTACTTGACAAAACAGCCCTCCAGCTGCAACGCTCCCCCGCACGCATCGCTGCAGATGGTCCCAAGGCGGCTAACCGACCCAGCAACGCACTTGGAGCAGTCGCCTGAATTGAGGTCGCCCCGGCATTGGTAGAGGCCGTAGATGGTGTCCTGTGAGGTGGAGCCGACAACAGTGAAGTTGGCGTAGGCGGCGGAAGTGGCGGAGCCGACAAGGCGGCCAAGGAGTAAGTTAAGATTGGCGTGGAAGGGTGAATTGGGAATGTATTTCTGGATGGTGCAGCCGCCGAAGACGTAGGTGTCTACGGAAGTGGGGGAGGACGGAGGTGTCAGAATTGCGACGGCGCCGTACAGAAATGTCAGAAATGAAGAGAGGGGGAGCCGTGTTCTAGTTTCCGACATGTCGAGAGAGCAAAAGGGGAGGGAGTTTGCAGAGAGTATAGGGGGAGAAGAGGAGGGTGGGAAGGAGATTGGGAATTGCAAATATATAATAGAAATTGAAGTTTATTATTATAAATATAATATTATAAAGTTTACGTAGAAAGCGAAAAAGAAAAATAAAAAGGGGGAAAAAATAGTGTATATATGATGATTTTCCAAGTTCGAGAATCCTTTTGAAAGATGGGGACAGAGGCAAAAGGGGTGACAGTTTTCCTAAGCTTCAAAAAGCAAAACCTAAAGATATATGAATAATGGATGAGAGAGAGAGGGATGAGATGAGATTATAATTTGTATGCCTCTCTCATAATTCCTTCCCTACCTCCATTTTATCATTGTCATGATGGTGACGAGGGAGATAATGACACTTTTTTTTCTTTCTTTTTTTTATAATTATGTCCATAAATTATAAGGTCTCCGAGACTTGGTATTGGATTCATAATTTGGATTTGACACATGATGGCCTCCACATTTTTATGTGACCACTATCCCTACATACTAGCATGATTCATTCTAGCATGCTTTGTCCTTCATTTATATGACACATACGAAAATTCGAAAGAGATAACCGAACATAAAATTGTTCCAAGAAAAACATACTCGACCTTAGAGTTTTTTCCTATATCCACGTCCACACCCATTTCCATTGTCCTGCGTGTGGGCTGCACCTCGAGTAAATCACGCATAGCATTTGGCCGAAAATAAGTCCCCCAAGCAGAAGTCCCACAACCTAATTTGAGTTGCTGTTCGTACCATCATAAAAGATAGGTATTTACTCGATGCATGAACACACAATGATGCATGAGGTCCTAAAATTTTTATTCATTACCACGTAAGACAACACTTTCCATTTTCTTCATATCATATCATTTTCATCATAGCTTTCCATGCATAAATTGGGGTTGTGTATCATATCGACACATCTTATCTTATATCATTCATATCATGTCATATCATACATATCTCATATCACCAATATATCATGTAACATCATATACTATATCGCCAATAACATTTATCATATATCAGTACATCACATCACAACACGTGCCATAACATTCATATATCATCTCAAAGTCGCATCGTAGCATGGACCTATCGTGGACTTGTCCTTTCATATTGTTTCATGAACATATTATAGTCATATCATTTCATATACATATCATAGTCATATCCTTTCATAAACATATGATAGTCATATCATTTCATAAACATATCATAGTTATATCGTTTCATAAATATATCATAGTGATATCCTTTAATAAACATATCATAGTCATATAGTTTCATAAACATATCATAATCATATCGTTTCATAAACATATCCTAATCATATCATTTCATAAACATATCCTAATCATATCGTTTCATAAACATATCCTAATCATATCATTTCATAAATATATCGTAGTCATATGTCAAGCATATAACACGTGCAGAACCACGGGCACGTGTTATCATACAAACATCAATTCCTAACCATACCAATAGTAAGGTCACTTACTTGGTTGGTCTTAGCCGACGCTCTCCCTAAACTCAAATATATTTGTATTCTGTCCCTCAAAGTTGTTCCAAGTATCGTTAGGAGTTATTTCCTATTAGAAGTCCAGCTCGTTTCGTTAGTAATACTAATTTCTTAGCTCAATTTAACTTAAATTGAGAAAATGGACCTTATATTGACCTTAATCGCCTTAAGGTCGAATTCAAAAATTGGTATCAAAATGTCTATACCAAGCCGAATGACCAAGTTTTGAGCTAAGAAGTCGCATTGAACCGAGCCAAGCCGCATTGAGTCAACTGAGTCGAAGGAGTTGGCGTACGACACATGTCGCTATGGGGAGAAGACGCGTGCGCAGTGTCACGGTCATGCATGTCCAAGGCGTGTTGTCAATGGCAGCATGACAGATATCCCAGTCTTGCTTGTCCAGGATGTGTTGTCCATAGTTGCATGCCCGTTTCAAACCCTTTTACATGCTTTCATCTTAGATAAGTCTTTACCATTCCATATTGGGTCAGTATGAGGGTGTATGACCGTTCACCAAAATCGTGTCTACACCTGCAAGGGTTAAAATGCCCTAAAATGTATTATAAGGGGATATGACTAGTTGTCAACTTCTTTCTACCCGATAGTTATATGCAGTAAGCCGTTGTTGTTGTCTTTTGCTTACATTCCCATATAACACTATTTCCAATTTCTCAAATCTTGCTTTCAAAACTCTCTTTCAAAATCTCTCTGCCCTCATTTTCTAAAACTTCTTGAATCGGGGCCAAAGACTCAAGCATATGTCGCTTGGCTGTAGGCAACGCAAGAATGAATAGGCTTAACTCACTTGTTGCTGGGAAGTGAGTGCTACACAATCACAAGTCCGTTGCCATCAAAGTGCAATTGTAACAAGTGGTATCAGAGCCAGGTTCGGCTCCTTGGAAAGTATTACGCAGACATGCCCGCCAAGAAACAATTGGGCAAGTCCCAGGTTGATCGATTAGCTAAAATTGAAGAACAGTTACTCTGCATTTGTTAAATTCCTGATGGAATGAGGCTTTTGGAATCATTCATGAATGAGATGTCCGCTAAAGCCGACAGGTTCAACGAGATGGCACGCCACCTTGAAACAATGCCTATCCTTGAATTAATGATTAGGGTTGAGGCCCTAGAACACAAGCCCACAAGAGCTAGTATCTTTGAACGAGGGGATTGTTCAACGGGCTCTGTTGCTCGAACGGAGGAACGTGTCGAGGGCTTAGACAATACTCAACTGGCAATCGTCTAGATTGTCTCGGAATTGTTTGAAGACTTTAGAGAATCCCTTAGAATAGTCAGGGCCGAAGTGGCAGATCTAAACACCAAACTAAACCTCACTATGATTGCGGTGGGGGACCAAACCCCAACTAGGGGTGTAGCACGATTTAACAAGATAAAGGTTCTAGAGCCCAAACCCTTCTGTGGGGTTCGAGATACCAAGGCTCTAGAGAACTTTTATCTTCGACCTTGAACAATACTTCCGAGCCACAAATACCGTGGCAGAGGAAGTGAAGGTAACGTTGGTGACAATGCACCTAGCCGACGATGCAAAGTTATGGTGGAGGTCCAAGTACATGGACATTCAAGATGGTCGATGTACTATGGACACTTGGGATAACTTGAAACAAGAACTCCGCTCTCAGTTTCTCCTAGGAAATGTCGAGATAATAGCCAGGAGATAACTAAGAGAGCTGAGGCATACGGGCAGTATCCGAGACTATGTTAGGTAGTTTTCTGAGCTTATGTTAGATATTCGTGATATGTCCGAGACAGACAAGATCTTCAATTTTATTATGGGGCCGAAGCTGTGGGTGAAAACTAAACTCTACAAATAAAGAGTTCAATCCCTTTCCACAGCCTATGTTGTTGCCGAATGATTGTTTGATCTTGATAGCGATGAAACCTCAGAGATGGGGCAAAATCGAGCATCCACAAGTGGTGAAAATGAGAATTATCCACCAAACTCCCCTAGAGGTGAGGATAGTGATAGCTCTAAAGACGAGGAGGAGGAATACGAATCCTCCCAACAGTGAGGTAGGGCTCCTTGGCAGAGACCATACAAACAGATTAGTCAAAGTCAAAGCCATGACACCCCTTCTTGCTTCATATGTAAGGGGGCTCACCAAGTATCTGAATGCCCACAGAAGGCAGCATTATGTGCCTTCCAAGAAAAACTTCGAGCTAATTCAAAAGTTGAGTACGAAATAGCAGAAACAGAAACACCGTTAGATAGGACTGTTGGATATCCCCGTGTTGGGGTGCTAAAGTACTTGTTCGCTCTTCAAAAGAGAGTGGAAGAGATAGAAAAGCCAGTGGAATGTGGTCTTATGTATGTCGAGATTTGGGTAAAGCATAAAGCAGCTAGAAACACTATCGTTGACTCTAGAGCCACCCACAACTTCATGACGGAGACCGAAGCAAAACATTTGAATATCCTTTGGCATCGGGATGTAGGAAAGATGAAGGTCGTCAAGTCAGCAGCCTTACCTGTGTTAGGAGTTGCGAAGAGAACTCCCATCAAACTGGGGACTTGGATGGGACGAACCGACTTTATGATAGTCAAGATCATGACTTCGACATCGTGTTTGGGATGGACTGTTAAAATAACACTCACGAATTTGTGAAGTAATCTCACACTCACTAACAATCAAACGCTCTAATACTGCTTTGTGAAAGTACTACTTGTGTACTTGTGAAAGAGATGTCGAGAGTGGAGAGATAAGGAGACAAAGAATAATGAAAAAATCTTTTTCTATTACTCTGTGTTTCTTTGCTTGTCTTTTCTCTTACTCTCTGCTCTTTTTGCTCTGATTTACCGTGAAGGAATTAGGTATTTATACCTTTTTGCTCTAATAATAGGGTGAGAGAAACTCTCATAACCCCGGCCGCCACGAAGGTTCTTTTCTTTCCGCTGGCTTTTTCAAATTTACTTTCCTGACATATTAACTGCATTTTGCATTTTAAGTTTATTTTAACAAAACTCTCTCATAAACTTAAATGCTCCTACCATCTGTCATTCCAATCATTTTCTTGTATTTGTCGAAAAGTACTTCGGTAGCGATTTTGTAAAGATATCCGCAACTTGATCCTGACTTGCCACATGCAGCAATTCCATGCTCCCTTCCTTCACATGATCTCGGATAAAGTGAAATCGAACATTAATGTGTTTGCTTCTTTCATGGTTCACTGGGTTCTTTGCCAACTCAATTACTAATTTGTTGTCAACTTGAATCACGGGGTTGCACCTCATTGCTTTAGCTCCATCTTGCTTAACAAATTTCTAAGCCATATCGCGTGGCACACACACACCAAGATGCTGCCACGTACTCAGCTTGACACATCGAGAGTGTCACGATCGGTTGTTTCTTTAAAAGCCAAGTAAATGTTGTGTTGCCCATGAAGAATACATAACCCCATGTACTTTTTCGATCATCTATGTCTCCGCACCAATCACTGTCAGAGTAACCAACTAAGTTGTAATCTTCTATTTTTGAGTAGAATAATCCAAGTGACACCGT